GACAGCAACTTGTCTGTTCCCCTTTCCCCAATTCCCCAGCACTGTTCCCATCCCCACAATTCCCCAATAAAAATCTTTAAAAAAAAAAAAAAAAAAAGAGTTTGAGCTCTGAGCAACAGCGGTTCTATTCCTGGCCCGAGCTGAGCAGTTGCTGAGCTGCCAACAGGTGGCAGGATGACTCAGCTTAAAAAAAAGAACAAATTATGATTAAAACAAGTATTGAAGTGATACTCAATACTACCCGTGAAGTATTGCCAAAATATCAAACCCTAATGTAGACTTTACCACATATCAAGCAATAGCTGGAAGCAATAAACACGTTCACCACCACCACAAGAATGCAAAGGACAAAATGAAGACTACGGGAGATTCTATAGGTTATCAATCACATTTCTTAGAGAATAAGTTTGGGAGATGGTGACAGATGGAGGGGGAACTTGTAGATTAAAAGTGACTTAAGAAACAAATTGTTTGGATCCTGATTTTTTTTAAAAACTAAAACAAAAAAATGTTCTGACATTGAATTTGAACACTGGTTATTTGTTGATGTTCAAGAATTACTATTAATTTGGGGAAGTAGAATTGGTATTGTCATTTTTTAAAATTCCTTTAAGCGGTACATACTGAAATATTTATATATGAAATGCTATATCCTCAGTTACCTTCAAAATAATTTGAGGCTGGATGGGGCAGTAATTTGGGGAATGACTGAACTAATTGTGGCAATAAGTTAGATGACTGCTGTAGCTGATGATAGATACGTGGAGATTCGTGTGTTTTCTTTTGTGTATGTTTTATATTTTCCATAATAAAAGGTTTTCAAGGATGATATTGAAAGACTTGACTATAGATAAATTTAATACAAATCATATCAAAACATTAACCAGAAAAAGAAGGCTTAGGAGCAGACTGAGGAAAAGATCAGCAGTAAATATTAAAGATGAAGCATTGATATTTTTTATCAGTAAAAATATCCTGAAAATACCACTAGATAAGTATCTCAATAAACATGACAGGAAGTGTTTAGCTCTTTGTATACAAAAGTACAGATTTAAACAATGGGAAGAGAAAGGAGGGAAAGAAAAATACTAATATCCAGTGCAGGTGCGAATATGGTAAAACCAGTTCTGATACGTTGCTGGAGCCAGGATAGATGTAGCCCTTTTGTTAAGAATTTGGAACTATATCCAAGGTCCATGAAAATATTAATCTCCTTTGACTTAAGAATTCCCAAAATGTAACAAATATGTGTAAATTTTTTCACAGTAAATAAGAGGCGACTGGCAAGTCTATCAATAGGAGAAAAGGCTAAAAAAAAAAAATGGGTGTGTCAATGGATGCATTCAGTAGGATATTATGTGGCCATTAAAAATTATGGTTCTGAAAATCATGTAGCTATGAGTACATAGAAAAATACTTCCTAGTATACCATTAAGTAGAGTTACAATGGCTGCTATTTATTGAGAACCTACTGGGTGCCAGCCAAAAACTGGGCCCCTTTCCTAGAACTCTCATCTTCACAGCTCTAAAACAGAGTTGCCAGCACTTGTGGGAAAAAAGATTAAGATTATGTACTTGCTTAAGGTCAGCGGATCTAAAAGTAGACAAGCTAGATTTGAACATAGGTTTTTCTGTCCTGAAACCACTGTGCCAGAAGGAAGTATACATAATAGCTCAACTATGTAAAATAAATGGTCAAGAAGAAAAAAACCCAAAATAGTAATAGTTACAGAGTTAAGATGGTAGGATTAGAGGTGTTTTGTTTTGATCTTTTATATTTTTTCCAAACTTCCCTGCTTTTATACTTAAAAGGAAAATGTTGAATATTATTGTAGAACTGTTAGAACGGCAGAGCCTCAATTCCATGACATTCTATAAATGTGAGCTACTTTATTGAAAGGCAGTTTGGACTATATATAGTACACACAGTCGAGAATGATGTGAAAGTGCACCTGCTCACTAGCTGAAGTTTTATCCTTGCTCATCCCTTCAGTTTAAAAATATTTATTGAAACAAGAGTAATTTTTATTTTTTTATTATGTATTATTTATTTTAGCTGAGCCATCCTGCCACCTGTTGGCAGCTCCGCGGCAGCTCAGCTCAGGCCAGGCATCGAACTGGCGATCCTGTTGCTCAGAGCTTGTACTCTTGAGTGAGCTCTTCACCAACTGAGCCACTCGGCCGACCAATAGTAATTTTTAATAGTAATTTATTTACACGAGACATGGACATGAGAATAAAGAAAAAGCAATCCAAATCCCATCACCTTAAGAGAGGAAATATTTCAATAAATTGTCGAATTATTTCCAGAAGTATTTTTGTATTTACACCGATAGCAGATGAATATCTCAGTTCTACCACAGTGTCATCTGCCATAGGTATTATCAGCAGATAAATAGTAGCTCTACCTTAATTCCTAGGGGGAGCATAACTGAATGTAGTTTGAGAAAAAGAAACAGCATTTGGACCTTTCTGTAGGACTGGGTTAGGGACCTGTTGCCTAAAGCATCGTGTAAATTTGTTTCAAGGATGAATATAAAAATTTAAACTTTGTCCTTTATCATTGACAGGTAAAATCCATTTTAAAAAGTATCTTGTGCCTTTAGAGCAAAGAGAAGCATTCCAGGACTAAGTCACTACTGCTTCTAAACTTGGATTAGACTGAGAAAGGCTGGGGTCCTAGTTTGCCAGTGTCTCACATTTGGAGTTAACAGACATTTTCAAAGGCATATTAAAAACATCCAAATAAAATACATACCTCTTGAATGGATAGAAGAAATAGATATAATACTTTATCCAACCCTTGGAACAAGTGGAAAGATTGACTATGGATTGAATATTAGATATTATGGGATTATTCATTTTCTTAAATGTAATAGTTTATAGGAGACTGTCCTTATACTTAGGAGATGCATACTGAAATGTTTAAGGGCGAAGAATCACGATGTTTGTAGCTTACTTGCAAATGATTCAGCAAACACACACAATGATAAAGCAAATATGGGGAAATATTATTGAATATAGATGGAGGATGTACAGGTGTTCATTGTATTACTTCAACTTTTCTGTATGTATATCTGAAATTTTCCTTTTAAAAGTTTGATGAAAATATAAATTTTTTTAAAAACATGTTAAATGTATTTTTTTTTTTTAGATTTTTTTTTATTGGGGATTTTGGGGGATGGGAACAGCGCTGGGGAATTGGGGGAAGGGGAACAGACAAGTTGCTACTGTTTTTTGTTCTTCAGTCTAGTTGTGGAGGAGGTTGCTTCACTGGCCCAAGTTGGCACCATCATTGCGCTCTTCCCGGGTGAGGCAGATCAGTCGCCGGCTTCTGGATGGCCGCTCACTGCGGCTGCTGGCCGCTCACGCTGGCTGCTGGCCACACACGGCAGCCCATGGCAACCCACTGCCACAGGGGCTGTAGCCTACGCCGTCGCCGGCGACTCACGGCAGCCCAGCTCCAGGTTGAGCTGTTGTTCAGCATCTTAGATGCAGAGGGCAGTGTCACTGACCCTCATATGTGGGATCCGAACCGGGGCCTCTGGCGTCCCAAGCCAGTTCTTAACCATCGCGCCACTCGGCCGGCCCTAAATGTATTTTTATCTTTTGGTTTCAGTAAAACTCCAGTTTTCTTGAGCATACTAGAATTGATCATATGGTAAGGGTGGGAAGAAAGTTCCAGCTTTAATTGCAAATCAAGGAATCAACTTTAGCAACAGACCAAATAGAATGTTTAACAACAGAGTAACTAGTTAGACAACTGTTCTGGCTAGTCTAAGAAATCTCACAGGGAAAGAAATGCAGTTTGTAATTTTTATTTCTTCTTTAAACCAGCACAACAGATTCGTCCTCGACTGTAAAGACAAAGAGCCTGATGTACTGTTTGTGGGGGACTCCATGGTGCAGTTAATGCAGCAATATGAGGTAAAGGTGGAAAGAAGGGGGAGGGAGGGGCAGCTCTTGGCTGTTAGTGTAAATCTGATATTCATCGCTAGCAAACTTTCATTCTGAGCTGAACCTATAGACTTAGGCATGATACTTAGGCATAGGTATTACAGAATCTCTAATTCAGAGTGTAAAGGAAATCAGACCTATCTAATGGAATTCTTTGTGCCATTAAGCGTGATGAGAGAAAAAAAATTACCATTGTTTATAAATAAACCTCCCTTTTTTGCCTTGGCTTTCAAGAATTTTCACATTATATTTATTATATTTGTCCTAGTCATGATTTTCAAGTTTTACTATTTGTGTTTTACTATTTTTTTTTAAATTTTATATATTTATTTTTATGTTTTTTATTGGGGAATTGGGGGAGGGAACAGACAGGTTGCTGTCCTTTTGTTCTTCAGTCTAGTTGTGGAGGACACCACTTCACTGGCCCATGTTGGTATTGTGATCATTGCGCTTTTCCCGGCTGAGGCAGATTGGTCGCCGGCCATTGGACAGCCGCTCATGGCGGCTCACGCCAGCTGTTGGCCACTCATGCTGGCTGCCTGCCACTCACGGTAGCTTATGGCAGCCCCACTGCAGCCTGCGCCATCGCCTCATGGCAGCCCAGCTCCAGGTTGAGCTGTTGTTCACCATCTTAGCTGTAGAGGGTTCAGTGTCACTGGCCCATGTGGGATCTGAACCAGCGGCTGTGCTGCTCAGAGCTTGCGCTCCCAAGCCAACTCTTAACCAACGAGCACTCGGCTGGCCTATTTTATGTATTTTAGTAGTGAGCTGTTCCAAATCTTTTTTTAAGGTTAGGCATTCTTCCAAGGAAAATTTAAAAGAAAAGATAGCTTCATTTCTTTTTGCCTCCAGCACTCTAAATTTCTTCATCTCGTGTTTCTACTTCACCCTGTTCCTTTAAATGGTTGAATAAAGGGAAAGAAGAGTTTATTGAGTTGGAAACTTAATTATAAATGTTGCTGCCTCTTAAGGGGCATCAGGTTGAGTTGCAACTCTGTTCCTGAATTGAGACATAGTGCTGCATGACGCGCTGATCTATACAATGGCGTCTTAGAGCCGTTCAGATTGTGAGTAGCACACCAGTTTGCAGTGTCCTGTTTGAATACAGAAAATGGAAAGTGTTAGTTCAGATGTCTTACAACACATTGCAATTGAGGGATTTTATTTCTTACGATTTTTAGCTTAAATCAAGTTTTTCTCTTTTTAGATATGGCGAGAGCTTTTTTCCCCACTCCATGCACTGAATTTTGGAATTGGGGGAGATACAACAAGACATGTTTTGTGGAGACTAAAGAATGGAGAACTGGAGAATATTAAACCTAAGGTGAAATGAAGCTTATTTTTTAAAGAATATCATTAATCTTGAGTCTTTTTCAGATAGTTAAATTGTCTGAAGCTGATAATAAAAAAAATTGCTTCTTTAAAGCATATTTCACAATTGTTCTTTGTTTCATGCCCCTTTTAAGATAAATGATATTGTCATTGCTTAAGAACATTGTAAATACACATTTAATTAAGATATCAGTGTATTGCTTGCTTGGGTGGTATTTGTAATTGTTACAACTGTCTTCTTCACCTGTAGGAAGAGATGTGATGCTAATGTTCTGTGAACCTGAGGCAGTATGAGGGGGAAACTGGGCCATGAGAGCAGGGCCAACATCCACTTCAGGAAGTCATTTTGGATCTGTTTAACCATATAAACAAATGTGGCATAATCAAAGCCTCCCAAGTTCTTCTGAAGAAAATTTGAAGCAGATGTGAACAAAGGTTCACCATAATCATGTAACGAGCACCTTATCACATTATAGACGTCTTGCATATAATTTTTTTTTCAATCCCAAATGAAGAAAAAGACAAAACTGATTCACTGGTAACAGTTGCTCTAATTGTATTTTATTCATTGCCTTTCTAACAAAAAAACTCATCCATGTTCCTCTCTTTTGTGACAGGATGGAAAGTTACTTCGTTGAGTCATAGTAAAATGTATGTCTCTGGATGACAGCCACTTTATAAAATTAATTTTTTTAAAGAGAAAAACCTGTTAAAAATGCATCCAGTGACTCTTTTTGTTGAGTGCAACTGTGTATTTATACCCATTACAGTCTCTTGGGTACTTTCGTTATTTTTTTCCTAGAAGGTACTTTTAGTGAGGGAGACTTAATGGTATGGAGCGAACATTTTCCCCCAGGTTTCTTAGATTTCACTTTATTTTAATTTTTTTGACATGCAGGGGTTTTTTTTATACATTGATTTTATTATCTTTTTAAGAGATTAGCTTTCAACCCCACATTAAAAGAATTCTCTTATTTCCTTCTAATACAGTTTTACCACTTAAGTATTAATCTTCTTGGAATTTACCCTGATATAGATGAGGCGTGAATCAGTGTTTTACGGTGGCTGCTCAGTTGAAGTTATCCAGCACCATTTGAGAATCTCCTTTATTCCTGGACATTTATCTCCCTTCCCCCCTTTTTCTTTCCTAAATTATAGGTCATTGTTGTCTGGGTAGGAACAAACAACCATGAAAATACGGCAGAAGAAGTAGCAGGTGGAATCGAGGCCATTGTACAACTTATCAACACAAGGCAGCCACAGGCCAAAATCATTGTATTGGTATGTAGTCTTTGGGTGGGTGGAGACCTTGATGTCATTAGGTCAGGTGAGGAATCTTTTAGAAATATGATCGTTCATCAGCATAAAGAATCTTTAGGTAGAAGCAGTTTATGATACTCCTGAGACACTTTTCCCTGATATATCCCATTGTCTTACTGGTCTCCTTTCCCAGACCAGTTGTGGGGTCATCTTTTATCTGCTTATCCTTGTTTAAAAGTGGAAATCCTCTTTGTTGTCTCAGGGGGCCTTATTTATTATTTTTTTTTACTGTCTTCTGATAATTTTTAAAACTTCATAAGAGACTTGTCCTAGTCCTGTGTCTCTTTTTATTAGATCTCAGTTTGGATTAGCTTAGATACATTGTTCTGTTGCACTGTTAATATGTTAAAGGCGGTCTATTTATTAGAATCTCTAAATTCTCTATCACATCAGAGATTCTGTCACCAAGAAAATGGGTCTTTATAGTCTTACCCCTAACAGAAACTGTTGTCCTTTGTAGAGTTAAAGCATTAAGTCTTCATTATCTCAGAGATAAATAGCCGTCTATTTGAGTGTAAAAGTTTACCTGTAGTTATTCTTAGCCCAATTAAAAATGTATATTTTAGCAAAATCTGATAAGTATTCAGTTCTTTAATGAGACAGTGTTAAGAAGGTAGTAACTTACTCAACAAACATGTGAAAATTACTATTCAGAAGGTACTAACTATCCTAGGTCCTGTGTATACAAAAACAGAAAGACGTAGTCCATCTCAAGGCTCACAGTCTAGTGAATGGACACAGCAGCATAAAGAGAGAATTATTATACCGTATGCTTAATGGGAGCAAGGGGAGAACAAGGTATATTTTAGACATAAAAGTTGATATCTAAGTTTAGTTTTAAAGAATTAATTGGTCTCCAGACAAATGAAGATAGGAAGGAAGGGAAAAAGAACATTATCAAGGGCTTATACATGTGTGTGTTTGTTGGGTTAGTGAACAAAAGTGCTAGAAGAATTTTAGGGTTGTCACTGAATAAAGTTTGAGACTGGGATGGTTAGGAGAAAGGCCACAGCCGGGTCATGTAGGAATTTGTATGCCATGTTAGGAGTTTGGATTTTTACCTTATGGGGGATGAGGAGCCAGGTCGTTTTTTTTTTTAACGTGGTATCTCATTTAATTTAATTTAATTTAATATAATTTAATTTAATTTAATTTACTTGTTTATATCTTGCCTTATTCTAGAAAGGATTACATTGTGGTTAAGAGTCCACCTCTTAAGTACAGTGCCTGGTACATAGTAGTTGCTTTGGACGTATTTGTTGCATGAGAGTTGCTAAATAAATCCTCCATAAATATTCTTTGTTTCACCCAGACTTTTAAATTTGACATACAGTGGTTCTGCCTGCACTAAAACATTGGCAATAATCTAAATAGTCAACCCAACGGGGGAATGATTGCACAAGTCATTGACCGTAATAGCACTAATCATAGGACAATTACAAGGACTGTGTGAAAACGATGACGTATGTAAGTGAAAAATTGGAAAACTAAATAATATATATATTTTATTTAGAATTACTTAGAAGTATACAATTAGAAAAGGCAACAATTAAAGTAGTTGTTACATGGTAAAGGGATTAGGAACATAATATTTTTCTTTTTTCAACATAATATTTTAGCAATTACTAATTATTATAGGGGGAAATCACATGGCATACCTTTGGTACTCATATATTAAGGACAATACATGCAAATATATAAGCTACTTTTTTCATCCTTGCTTGAAAATTCCAATAGGTATGGTGCCATGTTCCCGAGGCTTAATCATTCTTTATGGCTTTGACTGCTGTGGCATTCTTTGAAAGGCAGAACAAAATACTGGGGGTGCCAAAAAAATGTATACACATTTTAAGATGCTGTCTATGTATTACTTTTCGAAGTTGAATTGAATTATGTAGCAATGTATAGCATGATGTTCGTTCAACAGATGGTGTTAATCAAATGCTAGCATCATTCATTGTATTACAATTTTAATACAGTTTTTTCCTTTCTTAAAATGTGTGTACATTTGTTTTGGCACCCTCTGTGTATATTGTTCACTGGCCATTCTTCCTGGTTGCACATTATATCTCAACCAGACTGATATGTCAGCACTGAGGGCTGCTCTTTGTTAACTAGGAGATGCAGAGCTTTATACTTTTAACAGTCATATAAACTAGGGTTTAGGATAACCTCATCTGTGACATTTTTGAGGTGCTTAACAAGGAAAGGAAGAGTCATAATTCTCTTTTGGAACTATAGTCACACAATAAATTGTAATCAAGGCCCCAACATTTTGCTAAAAAAATTTAAAACAAGTATTTACTCTGAGTATAAAAAATTTTTTTCTTTTCTTTTTTTTTTTTTTTTTTAATTTTTTTTTTAATTTAATTGTGGAGGGCACAGCTCAGTGGCCCATGCAGGGATAACCAACTGAGCTAACCGGCTGCCCCCAAAATACTATTTTTCTTTTACTAGAATACCTACAGAAAAATTACTTTTGTGAAATAAGACCTCCTACCCATACTCTGTATGAGAAACGGATGGCAAAATTTTGGCCTAAATAACAATAACTGATTGTGTGACATCAGCTATAAACCAACTGAAAGGTCAGGATATCTGACAATAATTTTATTATAATAGGTTTGATTATCTGTAAAGGCCATTTCTAGTTTGAGATGTTAAAACCTTGCTCTTACTATATGAAACCAGGCTTTTATCCATATCTGATTTACCTAAAAGTTAAGAATGAAAGTTAAAAATGAATTTAATACATATCTCTGTTTTAACACACCAAATATTATGTGTCTTTTAATTCATCAAGACAACATTTCTTCCAGCTGTTTCTCATGTGCAGTACAATAGGTTCCATGTGGCATTAACAAATAGGTGTATATTTGAGCTAGATGATTCTGGTGACTATGTTGAGAATGATGTGAAGGGAAGACAACACTGGAGGTCGGAAGACAGGAGGTTTTATATTAATTGAGGTGACTGCTATGATAAATTCCCTAGCCATAGCAGTGTATATAATCAGAATAGAGAAAAAAAGAATGGATTAGAAAATAGTACTCAAAAGCTGAGTGATTTAATGATAAGTAGATAAAATACATGGGATGAGAGACTCGGGATGTTGGAATGCCCAGTTGGTAGAATGTAGAAGGATCATAGTTTGCGGGGAAGATAATGAATTGCTTTGGGGCATGTTAAGTCGGTGGCACCTCAGGAACATTCGGGTCTGGTTCTGCAGCCGACACTCAGTATGTAGTTCTGAAGCTCCAGAACGAGATCTGGGCTGGTGTTTACAATAGGAAGAGCAGTGGACTGAGGAGAAGACCCTGCTGAATACCAGCAATTCAGGGACAAGAGGACAAAGAGGAACTCATGAGGAAACTGAGAAGGAATGATTAGAGAACTTTTATTAAAACCAATCTAGTCCAGTGTTCCAGAAATGAAAGGTGTAAAAAGTGCCAAATGGGCGAGTGTCCTGGGAGTGCCTGAAATCACAAATAAGTAAGTAGAGAAAAGCCAGTGACTTCTCATCTTATGTTCTCTGCTCTTCCCCAGGGTTTGTTACCTCGAGGTGAGAAGCCCAACCCTTTGAGGCAAAAGAATGCCAAGGTGAACCAACTTCTCAAGGTTTCCCTACCGAAGCTTGCCAATGTTCAGCTCCTGGATATAGATGGGGGCTTCGTGCACTCGGACGGTGCCATCTCCTGCCACGACATGTTTGATTTTTTGCATCTCACAGGAGGGGGCTACGCAAAGATCTGCAAACCCCTCCATGAACTGATCATGCAGTTGTTGGAGGAAACACCTGAGGAGAAACAAACCACCATTGCCTGACTGGCTCCCATCAGTGTTAATAGCATCCCAGCTCCCTCAGATCAGTTATGTCACTGGCACTACAGAATCCTTCTCTTTCTTAAGGCACTTTGCATTGTAGAATGTTCCTGGATGTTCATATCTAGTGTTTGAAGGGGAGGAAGGATTTAAATTGGTTCTGTACATAGAAAGTTTTGTTTGACACAGGAGAAAAATTAGCCAAGGAAGATTGTTTAAATTCATTTGAAACCAGAAGGGGACTTTTTAGTTGTATGTGTGACACATTTGTTGAATTATCACTGTTTTTCCTAGGACAACATCAAGCCTAAGTACTGAACAAAATGAAGATTCTTTTCTTGGCCTTTCTTTCTGTGGATTATGTCATATATAATAATGATCAGAATCACACCTACTTGGCTTTAAAACATGTTTTTGTTTTTGTTTTCCAAGTTTTTAAGGTTCTTAATTTAGCCTTTTGTTTTTGTTTAGCTTTACTTATATGTATTCTCAGTGTTTTAACATACAGCATCAGCTTGGACATACTTGTCATTCAAATGTGGGAGATGCTATAGTTACAAGTAAATTTGTTCCACTCTCGTAGTCTTTCCCAGGCTTAGCAGTGAAAAATAGGTTTTGCCCCAATTAGGGGACTCTGTGGAGGGTATTATTTTTATGCTGCTGAATATCATGTCTATAATAGACCCATGCATGCAGCTTTTCTGCCCTATTTTTTGGTCCTTGTTGACATTACAAGCTTTTAACACATTTTTGACCAAGGAGCTCTGTTGCTGACCAAGGAGCTCTGTTGCTGGAAGTGTAAGTCCCCAGCCAGTTACTCTCATGATGATATTACTGATGTGTGATTCATTCTTGTGTGGTGTCCTGTGCTCTAGCGTTTGTAGTGCTATCTACATTCAGAGTTCTGGTCTGTTTTGTTTGTTTTTCCTTTAAAACCTGTTACAGTTTCCTTTTTTTGGGAAAAAAAATCAGAACTTTTATTTTCCATTCCATAAGCCCTGCCCTTATTTCAAGTTTACTAGTGTCTTAAGGTGTATATTTTATTTTTTTTATTGGCCTAGTTTTTAAATTATATCAGTCTAGAAAAATTTGGCCTTTTCTTATGGGGAAACAATGAAGCTGCTCTTCATGATAAGACATTCTACTTGATCCCACCAGCTTAGTAAAAAATAACTAGGTTTGTTTAACTTTCAAGATTTCTCCTTAATGTGTCTTCATCTGAAAATTTCTGCAAGAGAGCTCTTTATAATCTTAATGCATTGAGCTACAAGAACTGCCATTTTTACAATAAGGGACAATAGATGGTTTATTGTTCAATATACCTATGAAATATGTACAAACTGGATCTGCAAACAAATATTTTCAACTGGACCAGGTGGGTATTGAAGTAAACCATCCAAATGTGCTCTACAATGAGTCTGCTTAACGTTCAAGTTTAATAACTAAGGCATATGTTTTATGTTTTGCTTGCAAGGCCAGTAGCAGTGCTTTTGTGTGTTGGAGGGGGTTGCTGACTCATGCTGAGAGCCACTTCTGATTGAGAGGGATAGAACTTGGGCTGATTTGTTTTCTTGTTAAGCCTCTTTTTAGGAACTATTTTTGTTTTTGCTTTTTGTCTTTTAACAAAAAATACATACTTTTCTGAATGTATCATGTCTTCATTAACAGGAAATACACGTGTTTACTAAACTTTTTACTGTATTAAAATTTCCTTTTTATTTTTAGTAGCCCAGGTTCTTGAATTTTTCAAGACAGATTTTTTTTTTTCCCCCTTAGCTGAGTTATAGTTCTTGGGAGAGGAATTAATGAAGCCATGATTTTGTGTGTGAAAAGACAGTTTCCTATCCAGGTCTTCTGTTTGTCAGAGGGTGGGATTATGGTCCAAACACCCATTAGGTTACTCCGGCAGCATAGGCTTTGAGCTTCTTTTAACTAAGGATTAATATCCTTTTGTGAACTGACCTTCAGCTCCTTTGCTTATGTGTATAAACCTCGGATATTACTACATTTTCTATCTACCAGAGCTATCAAGCAATAGTATTTGAATCACTGTCCCTTTAAGTGAAAGTCTGCCCCATTGCTAATGTGCAGATGTTGAGTCTGCTTTCATTACTTGCCAGCTTTCTTAACACTGCTTTAGGCAAAAAGTGTTCATCTATTTTTCTTTTATTGACATCCCAGTTTGCTACAGTGACAGAACTTAATGCTTAATCTTTGGGTTTATATATATATACACACACACACACACATGCATTTATATAAATTTAATGCATTGTCCAAGTGAAATATCCTAGTTGTCATTGTGATTAAGGGGCCAACTTTCCAGGCAGCTAGCAGAGGTATTATTCTGTTCCTCTCCCAGCACATTTTAATTCCTTTGGCCACCCATTTCTGCTACATTAGGTGGCAGCTGGTGATGGCACTATAAAGATTTCTGTGGTCACACCTGGAATGTGGCAGGTGGAAGATGCACTGCCAGGGGTGATCTAGGGCCTGTTGTTTTGCTGCCCACAATAGACTGCCATGGGCAGTGCTCTGGCTGCCAACTTGGGTCTATTTGTTGAGGGCATCTGCCTAAACCTGAATCTTCTGTCAAAAACCTTAACACAACAAAACAAATGTTGAGTAGCTTATGCCCTGGTCTTAAGAATTCTCTCTTGTTAAAATTCCAACTTTCTTTTTAATTTTTTTTAACCTAGTCACTGTTTACAGGTGTATGCTAAAGCCTGAAATGCTGTTTGTGCTGTGTATGAGCATTGCCAGTTTTATATTTATTACAGTGAAGAAGAAACTAAAAATATTTGAAAATGTGGAGCATGTCCATGCTCCTAAATCTCTGGGTGCATGTGGGAGAAGTGAGTTGGGGTCTCTTGGAAGGAGGATTTTTGGAGTGGGGTCTCCCAGGCTTCTCCTTGGTGTTCCTACTTGGGGATCACTGCTGCTAGCTGATGGAACTCCCCCTCCCCCCCAACGGAAGTTTGTGATTCTGCTTTGGCAAAGTTTCATTAACTAGTAGATCTCATTCTGTTTTAGTGCATATTTCAATATAAATGTAAACATTTCACTCAAATGTGCTGTCTTTCTGCCTCCTTTCTCATAGTATAAATTCCAATGGAGAAAAGAAGGGGTGGTTTTTTTCCCCCTACCTTATCACAAGCAAATTGGATACTTAGATCATCCTGCTTCTGTTCTGTGGAACTGAATGTACCAAGCTGACCCTCATCACTTAATCTCCTCAGGGATGTAGGATGGTAGGGTGGGATGAGCTGATATAAGGAATCCTAAGTAGATAAGTGGGAAAATCATCAAAGGAAATATTTCAGATTGGTTAAGAATATCTAGCAGATAAAAACGGAATTAACTCTCAAACCATTAAATCGACCTTTTGACCCGTTTTCCTAATTTCAATCTTTAGAATTTATTCACATTAAATGCCCCAATTTCCACTCTTTCTCCATTTCTCATACTAATAATCACTAGTTTTTCTTTTTTACACTTTGGAATATCTACTGTTGCTCCCATCTTGAACTTAAGTGCTTTAAATTAATTGGACTCTTCTGAGTTCTGTGCCATCTAGGGGAAAAAAGCCTCAGCTTAATATTTCCCATCTATTAACCACCTAAACATTTTATGTAGGTGCACCCCCATTTTACTGTTGGCTGAGAAGCCCGGGGGGGGGTGTTGTATCTTTTTTAAGGTGAGGCGTAATTTAAATGGGTGAGCTGGGATTTGAACGCAGCTTTGCCTCACTTCAAAATCCTTGACCTTGCCACTACTCATTCAACCTCGAATATTGTTTTAGCTCTAGATTCTGACTCACTGAGTTCATCACAGACACATCACTAGTTTCATTAGAAAGCCGTGGCAATAAAATGACACTCTTCTCACCTGGATCAAGGCAACAGCTCCCTTCAGTCTTTCTGCAGTCATACACTTCATTTCCATTTTCCCTGTGGTCCTGGAATTATTAGAATAAAGTGCATCACCTGGCCAAATTGTTTCCCACCTTAAAAACAGCAGTCAAATTAGATTATGGTATTATGGAGAAAGAATTTTTGGTGGTATGCATGAAGGTGTTCAAAGCCTGAGCACTATTAACATGTCAATAATTTCAGATTGACTGGAAGATACTACTTGGGTAGATAAGATTTAAAATCTAAAAGGAAACAGGAAAGTGTAAATACAGTCCAAATAAGTGGCAGAAAGATAACTGAAATAGTTGCCAGCTTCCATATGCTAAGGGGTGGGAGTGGGATCACAATTAGCAGATGAAAATATTGAATGAGGGTTCATACCAGACCTCAAGTGCAGCTGCCTCACTTGAAGTCCAATCTTAATGGGTTCAGAACGGTTTTGCAGATAGTTTAGACCGCATGTAATGTGGACCACCTCATTTGAACTGAATGAGTGCTATCAGTCTCTATAACAATTACAGAGTCTAGGACAGGAGCACGGACAGGTCTCATTTCTCTCGAGCACCTCCCCAAGCTAAGACGCCTGCCCCAGTGTAGCTGCTTCAGAGCTATGTGACCAGAACAAGGGTCAGTTACTCAACTGGCCATCAGGGCCTATCCTGATGACTAATACCACCAACCACCCCAGCAGTAATTACAGCTATTGCTATGCCAGTATAATGTTCTTTAGCAGCTACAAGTTTCTATGGTTTTTGTAACATTCACTTTATCACTGTTCACCACAGTGATGCCATTGGGTTAAAATGGTTTACTCCTAGAAGAGGTTAGAATTTAGAGATACTAAGCTGAGGCGTTTTTATTTTTCTAGTTGCTCTTCCTGCGTATCTAATCACACCAAGCTCCTCCCCACCCCACCCCTACCCTAGAGGCCTTTGTCAGCTGCTTGCAGTTTCTGTTTAGATCACAAAGCAGGGGTTAAAGCAGTCGGGGCCCGAGGCTTTGTTGACCCCTAACCCTTGCATGTGAACCTCTTCCATGGCCCAAGAGAAGTGGAAGAGACAGCAGTGTGGTAGAAGGGAAAGTTCCCTCACTGCATCTAGTTGGGGGAAAACTGGCAAGAAGACTCCCATCTGCTACTTTCCTCCAGCCACGGCAAGGCTGAAATCTTAACTCCGCTACATATTGTTACATAGCCATGAAGGAAAGATCTGAAATGTTTTGCTAAACACATAGTCTTTCTTTGGCCTGACTTTATGCTATACCTCTTGCCTTTTGCTTATTTGCTGGCTTATTTTAGCTTAAATCATTACATAAAAAAATACATAGCAAAAAAACGCTATAAAAATACATATTTCAAAGTGTTGAGTTCAGTTCAGGGTCACTTCCCTGTTCTGTTAATTAAACTTTGGAACATTGAAACAGGCCAGGAAAAATAATTGGATAGAAAATACTACTCTATTCATTTATAATCTCCCAGCCTATAAAATGAAAGAGGAATGTAATAATATCGTAAAGATTTTGTAGGGTGTCAGATGGGCACATGTCTTATTAGGGAGACCACTTCATGGGTGGTGTAGATGCCTGACCACTGCACTGAACACCTGAAGCTGAAGCTGAATAATATTGTATGTCAACTATAATTTAACATATATATAGTGTATATATATGTTTATATACACATGTATATATATGTAGTCATGGGATATGGAGTATAGTATAGGGAATAGAGTCAATGGAATTGTAATATATACGATGTCAGAGGGCAATAGATTGGGGGAGGGGGTTATCACTGAGGGGTGAAATGTCTGTTACATTGTTTTGTACACCTGAAACAATAAGAAAATACATATTTTACACACTGATCAAGCTTTTACAGCCCACTTGTAAAGAATTCATGACACACTAGTGTACTTTAGCATACTCACTGATAATCTCTAATAATCCAAAGTATTAAATGTAACATCCAGTCCTCTCCATGATGTGGCCCTCTTCAGTTCATATCTACACACCCCTTACTTTGAATTTTCATGACAATAGCATTGAACTTTGAGTCTATGCCTTGGCCCCTAGTTGAGAATATCTGGAATGTTCCTGCCCCTGGAATATGTTCCTGCTCCTACTTTTAAGAATCCCTCAGGGATGCCTCCTGGAGTGTTTTCTGATTTCTGTTTCTAGCTCTGGTCTGTACTAGGTCTCTCATCTCTGAGTTCCCATAATACCCAGTGTAAATCTTTTATCATTGCACTTACTCTGTAATATATGCTTACCTATTTGTCTACACTGCTAGATTATGAATTCCATAAGAACAGAGAATGTGTTCCCAGCACCTATCTTAGTGACTAGTACAAACTAGGCACTGAATAAATAAAAGAATGAATAAACAGAAGGTTGAGTAATTTGTTCATGGTCTTCTAGCCAGTAAATTTCAGAATTTAAAGTGGAATATAAATCTGACTACAATTCCTGTTCTTTCAGTAGTACCACGCTGCTGCTCGTGAGAAACAATAAACATTATTCTTGCTAGTGATGAATAAGAGCAAACAAAATGAACAAGAACAACAAAAACATGCAGTACATACCTATTACAAAAATTTTTGAGACATTTTCTGGAATTGTTTGATTAGAACTAGATGGAATTAATAAAGATAATTTTTATTTTTTTAATTTTTATTTGTTTATTTTAGCTGAGCAATCCTGCCACCTGTTGGCTGCTCAGTGGCAGCTCAGCGTGGGCCGGGAATCGAACTGCTGTTGCTCAGAGCTCGCACTCTTGAGCGAGCGAGCTCTTAATCAGCTGAGTCACTTGGCCAGCCCTAATAAAGATAATTTTTATAGGCGAAATGAAGCTAAAAGAAAAAGCTAGGCTAGCTCAAGGACCAAAGGTACTGTGAATGAGAAAATCACCTTTGTGAAAGCTCTGAGGACCAGTGAAGTAACATAAGAAACTACAGGATGTGGCCTGTATCTCAGCTGGAGTGTAAAGGGGGGGGGGGGGGACGACGACGACGACACACACCCTTCCTATAATTGAGAACAACTTGGAATAAGGACTGGGTAGCTGCACATGATCTTTAGATACAGCCAAAGGGGAGTAAAAGGCTCTTCAGTAGCATCTTCTGATTTCTCAGCCGAGACCCAGGCTTGCTTGAAATAGGAGGCTGGCTGGCTCATTTTTATCAGTGATCTCTGGAGACACAGATTTGAGTTGATCAATTATTTATCTGCTTGTTTTCAGCAACCTGATGACCAGGCTCATTTCCTGGAAAGCTCTGATGTTTCCATCACGTGGCCACAGGGAAGCAGACCCAGGGCCTGAATGTATTGCACACATTTCCCAGTATAAATAGTGCAAGTGCAGGATTAGGAAATGGAAAGTGGCTGATCTATCTCTGGCAGAAAGTCCTGCCCACTTAGTCAATGCAGCTTTCTCTTGACTCCTCTCCTACTCTTTAGACATTTCAGGATGATGAAGGCAGCCAAGCCCACGCTGAGCTCTAGCTGTGAGGCAAATAGGACAATGGAGGTGAGACATGGCCCCTGAAGGCTCAGAAAGTTTAATTTGCCTAAGGTCACAATGTAGAGCTTTAGACCTACAACTTTCTGACATCAAAGTCCTTGCTTTTTCCATAATACCGTGAAGCCATGCGACAGTTTTGAGACCTTATCCCCAGAATGACAGAGAATGCTGTATCTTTAGCTGATTGCCAATCTATATGCATCCAGTTTTCACAGTCCTTGAAGGAGAGATAGCCAGACACAAGGACAGCCCTGGGAAAAAACAGAACTTGCATGATAGTAGTGCTGTACTCTTGCTGCTGGGACTGCCTATGTCTGGGACAATTCTATTTGAGCTCCATGTACATAACACTGAGCCCTTTTTATGGTCACAGTGAAAACGAAACTTCAAGTCCATTTCCTTCAGAAGGGTTGGTTTTGCAACCTTTTTTTCTGGGTTGAAGTTACAGCATTACTTAATTCTAAAGTCTGATTTGATTCTGCCCCCCACCCACAGGCATGGCCACTTCTTTACCCCCAGGCTTCTATATTAGTTGATGGGAGTCAGCTAATCCATTCACTGTGATTCTTTTTTTTTTTTTTTTTTTGGGGAATTGGGGGGATGGAAACAGTGCTGGGGAATTGAGGGAAGGGGAACAGA